AAGTAGCTGGTGCTGAAGCAGCTGGAACCTGAGCAGGGCCAAGCCAAAGCAGCTGGAGCCGGGGCACAGTCAAGCCAAAGGAGCTGGGTGTGAGGTGTGGTTGAGCTGATGGAGCTGAGGCTGGGGCGTGGTCGAGCCAGGGCACCTGGGCCATGGTGCGGGCGAGCAGGAGCCTCTGGGTCCAGGGCACAGGTATACCGCCTCCCCCGGCACTGGGGCACTGGGGAGCCAGAGCTGCTGGGGCCTGGGCGTGGGCATGCTGGAGCCGCTGGGGCCTGGGCACCTGGGCGCCCCCGCCTCTTGGGCCTGGGTGCAGGTGCACCGCCACCACTGGGGCCGGGGTGCTGGGGGACTGCTGCCATTGGCACTGGGTCTGGAGCTGAGCTGAAGTGCCGCTGAGCAGAGGGTGCAGGCCCACTGTGCTGATTCCCCGGGCAGGTGGGTGGGGAGGGGCACTTACTTTCACCTCCCCAGTCCCAGGGGTTTCTCACTTTGCTGTTGCTGTCTGCTCTCCTGAAGTGCTAGCTTGTTGAAGGTACCCTTGCAACAGTTCCACTCCCTCTGCAGGGGAATTCCCCACAGGCTGTGAGGGATCTTGGAGAGCAACTGTTTTCCCTTGGAGGGCCACCCCTCCCCATTCCCTGAGAGCTGCGTGGTCTCAGTCTCAGGGTCTCAGTCCTTAGGGAAGGAGGGGAGCTCCTCTTACCACCTTCCACTTCCTCTGGGGATTCCAGCACCTCCGGCCTCAGATGTCCGGCTGCGTGGGTCCCTTGTGTTGTGTGAATAACTTCTGTTGGAATATGAATGTCTTTTTTTTGTTTCTTAGAGGGGGAGAGTTCAGTGGGGGAAGCTCACTCCACCATGATGCTCTTCTTTAACCAGTAATCTATTTCCAATTTTCAACTGCTACAAATACCACTGTAACAAATATCTTACTCTCCTTTCCTTAAGGGATAATCTCAGAAGCAGAATTGCTTGATCAGAGAGCATGTGCATTTTTAAGGCTTTTATTACGTATTGCCCACTTAGAAGGGTCACCCATGTTATACTCCAGTCAGTATAGCTGATTGCTTAATCCTTGCACTTTCCATATCAAGTATTATTTTTGTGTTTCTTTTCAAAATTCTCATTTATGTATATTTTTAATTTAATAAATGTTATCTCATTGAAGTTTTAATTTACCTTTCTTTAAATCCTGAAGAGATTGAACATTTTATATTTTATTGTTACGTCCTTTTTCTATTTGTGAATTTGTTGTTTTGTTACTAGTTTAATAACAGTTTTCTATGTATTAAATATATTAACCTGATCTAGCTTATTTTTCTCAATTTGTTTTCAGCCTATTAAGTTATTCATGATAGTCTCTTATATACAAATGTTTAAGAGTTTATGTTAAAATCTATGAATCTTATACTTTAATGTCTGCCTTTTTGTCATGTTTAGAAAATTCTTCTAACCTGAAGGTTATGTGTAATAAATACTCACCTACATTTTCCTGATTCCATTCATTTTTTACATTTAAGTCTTGACTCTGCTTTGAGTTTATTTTAATTTTAACTTTTTTCCTTTTTTTTTTTTGTGAGGAAGATAAGCCCTGAGCTAACATCCGTGCTAATCCTCCTGTTTTTGCTGAGGAAGACTGGCTCTGAGTTAACATCTATTGCCAATCCTCCTCCCTTTTTTCCCCAAAGCCCCAGTAGATAGTTGTATGTCATAGTTGCACATCCTTCTAGTTGCTGTATGTGGGACGCGGCCTCAGCATGGCCGGAGAAGTGGTGCCTCGGTGCGCGCCTGGGATCCGAACCTGGGCCACCAGTAGCGGAGCGCACACACTTAACCCCTAAGTCACAGGGCCGGCCCAACTTTTTTCCTAATGACTGGTTAATTGTCTCAATATTTATTGAATATTTAATTCTTTATTACTGGTTTGGAATTCCACCTTCAGCTCTGTTTCTGGACTTACTATTCTTATCCAGTGATCTCTTTATCTAATGCTATTGACTGTTCCATATTGACTTATTTTCAATATGGTTTTAATATCTGGTAGACAAAAAAACTCTATGTTTGTTTTAAGCTTCTGGAATGTTCTCTCAAGCTCCCGCATTATACTTTTTTTCCATTTTGAAGATGACCTATTGTTATTTTAGAAGTGGAGAAAGGATGAATTAAGATGTTTTTAGATAAATGTTTAACCTAGCTGAAATAATGTATCTAATTTTTCCAAACTGCTCCATTTTTCATTCCCACCAGCAATGTATGAGGGTTCCAGTTTCTCCACATCTTTTTCAAACTTTTATCATCTGTCTTTTTTATTATAGCCATCCTAGTGGTTGTAAAGTGATAACTCATTATGATTTTGTTTGCATTTTCCTGATGGCTGAAGATATTGAGCATCTTTTCGTGTGCTTATTGGCCATTTATAGATCTTCTTTGGAGAAATGTCTATTCAGTTACTTTGCCCATTTTTTAATTGGGTTATTTATCTTTTTATTATTATTATTGTTGTGTGTGTGTGAGGAGATCAGCCCTGTGCTAACATCTGCCAATCCTCCTCTTTTTTTGCTGAGGAAAACTGGCCCTGGGCTAACATCCATGCCCATCTTCCTCCACTTTATATGAGACACCACCACAGCATGGCTTGCCAAGCAGTGCGTGGGTGCCCACCCGGGATCTGAACTGGCGGACCCCAGGCCGCCGCACTGGAGTGTGCGCACTTAACCGCTTGTACCACTGGGCTGGCCCTATCTCTTTATTATTGAGTAGTAAGTGTTCTTTATGTGTTATAGATACAAGTCCCTTGTCAGATATATGATTTGCAAATATATTTTCTTATTGTATGGGTTGTCTTCATTTTCTTGATGGTGTTCTTTAAAGCACAAAGTTTTAAGTCTTGGTGAAGTCTAGTTTATCTAATTTTTCTTTGTTGCCTGTGCTTTTAGTGTCATATGTAAGAAACCATCACCTAATCCACGGTCACAAATATTTATACCTACATTTCCTCTAAGAGTTTTATACTTTTAGTTCTTATGTTTAGTGTTTGATCTGTTTTGAGCTAATTTTTGTATGTGGTGTAACCTAGGGGGTCCAACCTCATTTTTTTGCATATAGATACCTTGCAATTTTTGCTTAAACACAAGAGAACATTTAACAATATAGTTTAAATTTGTTTACAGTTCACTTGCTTTTTTGTTTAAGCAATCGTATCCATTTCAAATATTCAGAAGTCATAATTTTCTTATTTTTTAAGCATTAGAACTCACTGTAAGCTTTGTTAAATTTTGCCTAAAAGATAGCAAAAGAATCTGTGTTTTAAAAGCCTACCTGCCACTTTCTCTGTGTTACAAAAAATAAACTCATTTTGTAGGAAAAATGGATTCAGTTAAACAATTCATGTTCTTTATCCTATACATGTTCAGGCGAACCTGTACATTTTTTTAATGATGTTATAGCATTTGTTTTTCTTTCTTTGCCCAGACTTGCATCACTACATTCTTCAGCCCTCATACAAAAAACATATTCTCTGTTTCTCATTTATCATATTAATTATTTTTATTTAACTATTTATTATTTTTTGCCTGAGGAAGATTTGTCCTGAGCTAACATCTGTTGCCAATCCTCCTCTTTTTTTTTCTTTTTTGCTTGAGGAAGATTAGCCCTGAGCTAACATCTGTGCCAGTCTTCCTCTATTTTGTATGTGGGATCCCTCCATAGCATGGCTGATGAGTGGAGTAGGTCTGCACCCGGGATCCAAACCTGCAAACTCAGGCCACCAGAGCAGAGTGCACAGAACTTTAACCACTGGCCACGGGGCTGGCCCTTATTTTTATTTAATTTTAAGATTTTGTTTAAAGAGATGGGCATGTTGATTACATAATGTTTCAGTCTACACTTAGATCTCTTTTAAATGCCTTTTTAAAAAGGTGTTACTTCACTTTTCAAAGGACTAAGCCGTGAATAGGCATTTCTTTGTAAGAATAGTAGCTGTATAAACAATCCTTACTGAAAATAGTGCTTAATATCTAGTGGGTACTTGACAAATATTTGTGTAATGAATGATGCCATACCCAGTGCATTCTTCATTTAATATATACACATATACGTGGTATATATTTTTCTCCTTTTGCACCCCCCAGATTACTTAGTCTGCTATGGAATTTGCTATCCACATTGATGTTGATGGAGATTTAAAACTGGATGCTATAGCAATGTTATTTGACCAAGACCCGCAGTAAGGAAGGAATTTTATGTTATGACCTAGTACACACATAGAAATGGCATTTTCATGAAGGAGTACTTAGCCTTACTGTGCTTTGTGCACTCCTGATATTTTCTAATCTATTGTATTTTCTAATCTATTGTATTGATTTTTTTTCAGTTGCTAATCTGGACGTTCTAAATTGATTTCATGACTAACTAATGGGTTAGAGGAAAACACTGTGCTAGAGCAAATTTTGCGCAAATTTGTGGCCATGCAGTGTTACTGTAGTGCTCTGTGCAAGGTGAACCTCACTGTTAGAACAAAGTTTTCCTTATTTTAATAAAGAAAATCTGGTGTCACAAGTCAGATACTCTTTGGTTTGCTTTACATTTAAGGTTAGAATTTGGTCTTATTCCTGATGGAAACTCAGTTGATATAAAAATAAAAACAAAGTTTTTAACTAAATTATTAAAATTGTCAATTGATAATAGATGCAGACCACAGGGAAATGTGGTTGATAAGGGCATTTTTCATTTTTCTACAAGAGCATAAATATATTATGCCTTTGGGTTAAAGCGTATTAAAAAAAATTCTACCCTGAATTTTGAAAAAGAAAAAAATAAGTTCAAGGCTTTTTTGAAATGTGTGCTAATTTTCTAGATGTTACCCAATGGAATAATAATCACTTATAAAAAAAATAATTATAGAAAAGTATCTTCAAATAGAAGGCAAGAAAATATCTTCTCATTTTTTAATTAAAAAAACCCCAGACCTACGTTTCTTTCCTTTTATATCATTGCAGTGTGCAAAAAGGTTTGATGAACTGAAGAGCAGTGGAAGCTCACCTGTTGACAACCAGTTTAGTCCTCTAATGGCTGCTGGAGAGAGTCCTGTTGAAACTTTAGCCACGTATATCAAGTCCTCACTCCTTGACACACAGGGAGAATTTCAGGAGACTCTGGTTGGTCAGGATGCAGTTTCCAAAACAGGTGAGGTTTTAAAACAAAATGCAGTGTTTGTCCTTAGGATAATTCTGCAAAATATCATTCATTCCAATCAACTTTTCTCTATTTTTAAAGGCTAATATAAACATTAGTAGAAAAATCTATTAGTGTCTTCCTGAATTTTAGAAATTTGACTTTGCTATATTTGAAAAAAATTTTAAATATTAATATTCAGGTCAAACACTCTTATCAAAAAAAGCTCTTTACTATATCAAAATTTACTATTCCAGTCTGTTAGCCTAGTTATGTCGTAAAAATTAAAGGGATTTGACCTATACCTTTTACTTTATTTTTACTGAGAGAATCTTACTTGTCTCTCATGTTATCTTTTTTACAGCTACCCTTTACTGCAGTCAACAATAGCTTCAAATGACACAGTGGCAGGGGAGAAGAGATGTTGTCCACAATTATGTTGGAAATAGTAACTGGTTTTAGAAATCCTTGGAGTGTAGTGAGTTATTTTAATCTCTGCAGCAGCAGTCAGAGTATTGATATAAAAATTTGCTGCAGGAAAAGAAAACCATATTGTTGATTTTTGAACATTTGACTCCTGTCCATAGATGTCCAAATACCATATTAGTATTTTTAAAATCTTCAGTGTAATGTTAGCAATTTGTGATCCTTTTTTTGTACTGTTTCCTCCATATACCTTTAGAAATATTAAGGGAAATTCCACCTGACAAAGTACCATCTTTAACTAGCCTTGGAAACCATGCATTTACACTATAACCATTCAGTAAGTAAAAACCCATTCTCAGCTAGAAATGCTAACCTCCCCCCTTTGTTTTTGTATGTGTTTGTTTCTGTATTTAAGGAAGACATAGTATAGCTTCCACAAGGAATTGTTCTTCAGAAAGTGAAAATTGTACTACTCGTAATGGTGGAGAAAAGACTGAAGAATCTGAAGGGTAGGAGGCTGGTTCTTTGCTAGATAAGATTTAATATGAATATCAACTTCAAATTATAAAATATTTGGTGATTGTGTACATCAGTTACCATAATTTAGGAATTTCACATCACACAATTGCTGAAACAATTGAAATCAGGTTAATTCATGTGTTGAACTATAAACAGTTGCTTGATAGCTAAACGTATGGCTTATACATGTTATTTATAAATTGGAATATAATTTTCCATTTTAAAAATTCATTTTCATATTTGTAAATATTATAAATAACATCTATTAACATAAAAATTTGAAAAGTAAATTTTAAAACCCCACAAAAATCTCTGCTATTAGTTCTCCAACTTTATTAAAGAAACTAGATGTGTATTTCAGAACTATTTGAATATAATTACTCGTTATAGAAACATAAAAATTAGAATGTATCTTTCAATACATTGCAAGTTTTGATAGTTTATATTGTTTTGTATACTTTGCAAACAATAAACTGCACATATTTTAAGTATTCACTTTGATGAGTTTTGACAAATGGGTGCATCATGTAGCCATCACCCAAATTAAGATATAGAACATTTTCGTCATGTCTGAAAGTTCCTTTTTGTATTTCCAGTTTTGATAGTTTTTTATAACAGCTTTATTAATATATAATTCACATACCATAAAATTTACCCTTTTGAAAAACTTCTAGAGATGGATGGTGGTGATGAATGCACAACAATGTGAATGTACTTAATGCCACTGAACTATACGCTTAACTGGTTAAGATGCGAATTTTATGTTGTGTATATTTTTACTATAATAAAAAAAGTTCACTCTTTTCAAGTGTATAGTTCAGTGATTTTTAGTTTATTCACATAGATTTTTAACTGATAGGTTTGTTTGTGTGGCACAAAAATTTATCATATCATTTTTTTACCGGAATTATCTAGTATTTCATATTATGGTCCAAAAAGCCACAGAAACTTTATGCTTCTTTATACCAGCCATTACCTGTTTATAGTTTGACTATAATCTCTTTGGAAGAGCAATTTGCAAAGAGTTATTTAAATTCCTTTGACTTTGATAGAGCTTTGATTAATAATCCTTTTTCTGGTAGCCCAATTTTATTCAAATATAATTTTTTTTTGTATTAGAAATTTATGAAGTTCAATTAAACACATATTAAATTCATATTGCAGAACAGTGTATCTCTTCCTGTTTATTTTCTTCCTTTTGTAATGACATGAAAGCAGTTGTGGATCCCACTGATGTTTCTTTTTGAGGTGATATAATTTTCAAGGGAAAGTAAATTCAAGAAATATATAATTTTTGAAGCAATTTTTCTGATGTGTCATCTAAACTTATTAAATTATTTTTTAAATATGTAAATAAGCACATTGTAGTCTTAAGAATCCTTTTAACTACATTTACTAATTTATATTTAATGAATGCCTAGAAACAAACCTCTTGCTGTTAAAAATAACTAAGTAGCTGTTCTAATTTTTTTATTCTTTTTTAACTATTTTTCCTATTTATTAATAGTAAGAAAATTTGAGTGTTTATCTCTATCTCATTACCGATAACCATGTAAAAGTGCTCTTTGATGTTCCTCAAAAGAATTAGAATGTATTATTTAATTTTCTTGTGTGAATTGGTATTGTTTTTTAAAACTTTAACTTATAACTTGAAAAATAAATTTTAAACCATGTAAATTATGAGTCCTATGGTAAAAATATTTTTATTTTATTAAGTCAGTAGCTTAACTAAAATCGGTCATAATCTAAGATAGAATCAGGTTAGCAAGACAATTATGAAAAATTCTGAGTGTGAAACGCTATAAAACTGATTTTGTGGTCAAAACCTTCAGAAACATCTTGTTCTCATACTTCCAATAAATATCAATATTCTGGGCTCCTTTTCTAAAACTCTAATAATTTCATTTCTGTGTAACATTTTTTATGAAGGCCAAACATGGTGATCCATGTATGTGATGAAGCAAAAAACCTGAAAGAAGATTTTATTTGCCCACGAGATCTTTTGATATCAGAAATGAAGTACTTTGCTGAATATTTATCTATGGATGCCCAGCGCTGTGAAGAGATGGACATTTCAGTTCATTGTGACGTTCACATTTTCACCTGGTTGATAAAATATGTTAAAAGGAACGCTAAGGAGAATAAAGATTGTGAGATGCCTACTTTAGGTAAAAGACAATCTATTGCTTATTTTATAGTGAAATTTGTGTGTCACCTGGTAGTTGCTTCAGGCAAAACGTGGAATGTGGAAAATTGTTTGGACATTAGTATTTATGCTCAGATTAGGAAATTTATACCTCATCCTTTTTCAGTAAATTATAGTAAATTTATGGCAGATGGACAAGTCTCTAGATAGCAGTTCTCACTGTATGGTACATGGACCACTTGAGTCCTGGAGATCTTTTAGAGGATCTATGAGGTCAAGACAATTTGCATGATAATACCAAGATGTTATTTGTCTTTCTGTCTGTGTTGACATTTTTCTGACAGATGGTGCAGAAGTAATGGAGGGTAACACTGTTGGAGCTTTAGCACATGTCAGGGCAGGGGCACGAAACTACTAGTTGTCACTATATTCTTCAACACCATGTGCTCGTAGTTAAAAAAGGGGAAAAAAATCCGGTTTCACTTAAGAATGTCCTTGACTAAGCAGTAAAAATTACTAATTTTATTAACTCTTGACCCTTGAGTATATATGTATTTTAATATTCTATATGATGACATGGGAAGTACACTTCTGATGCGCACCAAAGTGTGATGGTTGTCTTGAGATAAAGCACTTGTGCAGTTGAGTTGCAAGTTAAACTAGCTGCTTTTTTTAAAAAAAAATAGAAAAGCATTTTTTATTGAAAAAAGCATTGAAAGAATGACTGACAAACAAATTATGGTTATTCAGACATGGGCATTTGACAGATATTTTCTTGAAAATGAATTAAGTGAGCTGGTCAATTAAAGGGAAACAATTGACAGTATTTGTTGCCAATGATAAAACGCAAGCTTTCAACTGAGAATTAGCTTTGGAAAACTTGTGTCTGCTTCCATGTGCTTGACAGCTTCTCAATATTTAAAGCCTTTTCTGATGAGACTGGTGATCATATTAACAAATGTAATTTTTTTTGTATGTTATACAATGAATGTTTCAACATTTGGAAGATGTACATAACTCAGTGCCTTATGTTTTCCAAATGACCAGTGCATAAGGTTAAAAAAAAAATCAAGCATGGGCTAAAGATCCATTTAAAGTACAAGATAAATAAGTGGATTTTCAAGTAATAGAATAGGAAAAGTTCATTGATATGATTTCGGATTCCATTGCAACTAATCTTTAAGAAACTACCATTTGTCAAGTTTTGATGTACTGTCAAAGAAGAATACCCACAAATTGAATGTAGAAACAGATATGAGAATCCAACTATTAAGTCAGACATTGAAGAAATTTGCAATGTCAGACAGTGAGTGTTACTCTTCTCGCTAAATTTTTTTTCATTTTGGAAAATATATTTTTCATAAAAATATGTTAACATGTAATGAGTGTATTATTGTTCTTTTTAAATGAATTAATAAATATTTAAAAGTTTTTTGTTTTAATTTATAGTATGTTTAATACTGATAGATATAACCTACATAAACAAAACCTCTTTAGGATTCTCAGTTTTTAAAATTGTAAAGAAGTCTTGAGATCGAAAGTTTGAGAACCAGTGTTCTAGATGATAGGAAGAATAATTACTAAGTAATCTTTCACTGCACACAGACTTGTATAGGAAATCACACTTGTAGTTTTAATAAAGTCTTTCTCTGCACTAGAATTGCTATTTACAGCAGTACCAAAGTATTTCTAAACTCTTATTAGTAAATAAATCTATACTGATAGTATAAAAGTTTTCTGAGGAAGTTTGTAATTTATTACATTTTAGTGACCAAATTAATGGAGAAAGTTTCTACTGGTCCTTAAATTAAAATTACAAGATTGCTAAATCAAAATTTTCAGCCAGTCATAGTCTGGAGATTCCAGACTACCCAGATGTGACATGTATGTGGAAAATAAAAATCAAAATAGGTGGAGAGAAAAAACTATTTGATCCGGTATATTTATGTATGTAGTGAAGGTAAAAGAAGTGGAGCAAACTAGTTACTCTGCAAACTTTAACCTTAAATCAGTGGTTACAAATGTAAACTTTTATGAAAATGATCTTTGTTCTAACCAGGAAAACTACCAAAATGCTTAATTAAATCTCTGATGATCCAGACACTGGATTTTAACTGGGAGAGGTTGTATTACAATTTCCTGAGGAACTTTTTCACCAGCTCCTTCCTCCCTTCACCATTTCTATTTGAGAACCTTTAATCTAGAATTGTTATTTAAGGAAAGATTGAGATTATTTTAATCATTGTCTGCATAGTACTTTATTTGGAAGGATTGTCTTAGTACTATAATGGTAAAAATCACAGTTTTTTCTCTTTCTTAAATATACTTCATGGGTGACAACTTAGGTTTACTAAAATGATAGCATTAGCCGGCATCCCTCTTCCTGGTTATGCTTCTGAAAGCTCACTCAGTCTGCCTTTAGGAAGTAACTTGAGCACTTTTGCAGTAGTAAATTTTGTATGACCTTTCAGAATCTTTTGTAATTAAGTATTTTTTCATAATAAGCATTAAACTACTTTTGAAATAACTTCACTAATAAGTGCTCTCATTAATCATTTAAAAATTTTTTTCACTGTGATTTTTGTGATGAACTATATTCTCAATTTTAATTATGTTTTTCCCTGCTCTAGTTAAGGAGAAGTTTGCGTATGTCATATCGTTAACTGGAGTCTTACTTGATACGAATCTAATTCCAGGGCAAATTTATTGTGCATTTTCTCTATACCCTGAGTTTTAACAAGGCAATGTCTTTCTTTCATGTATGTAAGCCATAGTAAGGTAAATTGTTCTTCTTAAAGTAACATCCTCTAAGGTGAGAAGGAGCCTGTTCTAAGGAGATTGAGGTACAAATCAAAAGGAGAATTTAATTTTTTTTTCTTTTTTTCTTAGAGCCAGGAAATGTCATTTCAATTCTTATTTCTTCAGAGTTTTTGAAAATGGATTCATTGGTAAGTACTAATTTAAAAACCCAAGCTCTTCTGTTCACACATGCTTGATTTAACATATAACTTGATTTTTCCTTCAAGTGTCTAGAAAATTCTAAGACATCTTACCAAAGTAGTTGTTGATTCAAGAGTGTGATTTCGTTAGAATAAATTGCTCATGTTTGGAGATATTTTGCTCTGTTGAGAAAGGGTTAAGGCTACTACGTATCATTTGTATATTATGCGTATAAAGGAAGCAATTGTCCTCAAAGAGTAGCTCCCTATTGTATTAGATGAAACTAAACAGAATTAACTTTACCCCAAAAGGGATTTTGCTCTAAAACCAAATTAATGAAAAATAATTGGAATTTATTTGTTTCACTATTTTAAAGTAATTTCTTTAAGCATGTGTTGCTTGTTTGTGTCTTTCAATTATAGTTCAGCGAATTAAGAATAAATGCCCATGGGCCAGCCCCATGGCTTAGCGGTTGGGTGCGTGCGCTCCGCTGCTGGCGGCCCGGGTTTGGATCCCAGACGCGCGCCATCGCACCGCTTCTCCGGCCATGCTGGGGCTGCGTCCCACATGCAGCAACTAGAAGGATGTGCATCTATGACATATAGCTATCTGCTGGGGCTTTGGGGGAAAAAAATAAATTAAATTAAAAAAAAAAAAAAAAGAATAAATGCCCAACTCTTAAATGATATTTTATATGTCTAAACCAGATGCTCATGTCTATTGTTTATTTGGTGAAACATAAAAGCACAATATATACATATACATATCAAGCTCTAACATTAAATGTATTTGTTTTTCTTCTTTTTATTTTTATTTAATAAATTTCTTTATCATTCAAATGTTTTTTATATGTTTTTGTTGTTTTACTTTAAATAAATATTTGCTTTTAGCCCCTGGTAAAACTACACAGGGCAGAATACTTTTTTGCTATGTTAACAGATGTAAAATTTGTTTGTTTATTTGATTGTTTGGGGTTTTACTAGTTTCCTGTATTCTTTCTACTCCTTAGTCCCTCCTCATTCGTTGCCGATATTAATTGCTTCAGGGGAGGGTTACAGAAAAAAAGCAAAGAGACTAAGAGTCCTTAACTTTTGAGTTTTGAAATCTAAGCCCTAAAGGATAATTTTTATGTCATAAGCAAAATATTTGGAAGAATACATGATTAGCCACTGCTAATTTTCCCCAAAACCCAAATCCACCTCAAAAAGTAAATAAACGTACCTTGGGTTGGAGAAAGGGAAAGAAAGTCAGAGAAGCAAGCACAACACAGCAGAGAAAACCTTGAAGTGACTGAAATTATGTGTCTGCCACTGAGAGAACTGGAAACTTAAAAGTGTCACTAAGTTTAGTTATAAGCAGTCACATATTCTGTATACTTGAGTTTGTGGACTGAGATTTATACTTGCCACAACCATTAAAGATGCTTATTGCATTATTGTTTGGAATATTCTAAGGAGATTGAAAATGGTTTTTCTAACTATGTTATGTATATTTGTACAAATTTGACCTGCTGGATCACCTTGGAATAGTGTAGATTAACCCAAATAGGCAAAACCCAGTTAGTGCCTAGCAATACATGGATCAGGCTTTTAATGAGTTTTTTCTTTGAAAGGTATTGATATGACATTATCTTTCATGCCACTCTTTTCAACACTCATTTTCTATTCTGTGTTTTTTTAGGTTGAACTGTGTATTCAGTATTGCCACAAAAACATGAATGCCATAGTAGCTACCCCATGCAACATGAATTGTATTAACGCAAATCTTCTTACACGTATAACTGATCTGTTCACACACAATGAAGTTGATGATTTAAAGGACAAGAAAGATAAGTTTAGGAGGTAATTTTTAAAATTTAATTTTTAACCTAATGTTCCTGTTAGAAAAAATATATTTCTATTTCATTTTAATGAAATATTCCATTTTTAGAATATATTTGGAAATATATCCATTTTATTTTAAATGAAGTAAAATTTATCCAGAGCCAATGGCTCAAGATAGAAAATTAGTAATTAAATTAGTTATTTTTAATAATGTACGTATGAGCATATTGTGATAGTAGATTTTGTTAAAAATTATTAAAACAGGCCTTAGCATAAAAGGGAGGAGTAGTATGAGATGAGGTCAACAATGATGATATCATGTAGGGGCTGTTTTGGTCATAGCAAGGAGAGTATACTTTATTCTACGTGTGAATGGAAGCAGAGGACTGGCATGATCTGATTTGTTTTTTAAAGATCATTCTTGTTGCCATGTGGAGAATAGCCTGTAAGGATGTAAGAAGCATGGAGACCTACTAGGAGGCTAGTGCAGTGGTCTGGTGAGAGGTGAAAAAGCTTGGACTAGAATGGATGCAGTGGAGCTGGAAAGAAGTAGATAGGTTCAGAGTATATTATTAGAAAGATCTGACAGATTTTCAAATGGAATGATGTGTGAAGAGAGAGAGTATTCTAAGATAATTACTAGGTTTTAGGGTTGACCAACTAAGTGGATGGTAGTGCGATTAATAGAGAGGAGAAAGATTGGGAGCAGAGATTGGGGTGAAAGGAATCAAGAAGATAGGTTTGGGTCTTGTTAAGATTATTTAATATATTTAATATACTTATTGAATATCCAGGTAGGATGGAAAATAGATAGTTGGATATATGCCTGAAGTTTAGGTCAGAGGTTACGACTTAAAAATAGAAATTTTAAGAGTAAGTGAGGTTTAAAACCATGGAACTGGATGAGATTTCCCAGCAAGACCATGTTTTCTCCACTGCATTGCACTTTTACCTTTGCTATAAATCAGGTGACTGTAAGTGTGAGGTCTCTTCCTGAATTCTCCATTTTGTTCTGTTGATTTCTTTGTCCTTGTGTCAGCAGCACACTGTCTTAAATACTGTAGCTTTATAATACTTTTTGGTATCTAGTAATCTAAATTCTCCAGCTTTGCCTTTCTTCAAGATTGCTATCTTGACCATTTTAGGTCCTTTGCATTTCCATATAACTTTTATAATCAGCCTGTCCGTGTTCTCTCTTTCTCTCTCTCTCACACACACACACACATCTATTGGAATTTGGGGTTAATATTGAACCTGTAGATCAATTTGGGAAGATTTGACATCTTAACAATATTGAGCCTTTCAGTCCATGAACATGGTATAACCCTCCATTTATTTTAGTAATGTTCAATAGTTTTTGGTGTAGAGATATTTTTCCTTTTTTAATTAAATTTATTTCTAGATATTTAATTTTTTGGGTGCTACTATAAATGCTATTTTTATTTATTTTATTTTCTAACTATTAGCAAGAGAGTATTGATAAAGACTATCCAACATTTAGGGGTTCAACAGAGCAGTAGCCAGTGAGGGGCCTGAGAAGGAGGAGCCAGTGGGCAGAAGGAAAGGCAAAAAGAAAGAGGATTTCAAAACAGAGGAAGTGATTAAGTGATCAAATGTGTGAAATGCTGCTACCATCTAGAGTAAGATGAGGACAGAATTGTAACCAGTTGGATTTAGACAACTTTTTTCCAGATGTTTTGCTCTGAACAATTACTGAAAAATTTAGCAGTAGCTATTAGGGACAGGTAGGCTCAAGAGAGAAAAAATTTTTTTTTCCTGAGGAAGATTCACCCTGAGCTAACATCTGTTGCCAATCTTCCTCATTTTTCTCTTGAGGAAGATTAGCCCTGAGCTAACATCTGTACCAGTCGTCTTCTACTTTGTATGTGGGTCGCTACCACAGCATGACTGACCACAGCATGAGAGACGTAGGTCTGCGCCCAGGATCCGAACCCTCGAATCTGGGCCACTGAAGCGGGGTGTGCCAGACTTAACCACTACACCACGGGGCTGGCCCCAAGAGAGGATTTTTTTAAAGAAGATTATGTTTATATGCTGATCGAGATGATTCATTAGAGAGGGAGAAATTGATAATGCAAGGGATTATCCAAGAGTTTAGTCCTTAAGGGGAATGAGACAGGAGAATTATCCACAAGCTAAATACTTGAAAATAGGATTGGGATCCTAAATCCAGATATGGCCTTTAATAGCAGCAGACATTACATGAGGGAAAATGGAGACAGTCAGAACATACAATCGGAATTCATAACATATTTAAAAGACTTAAAGTTCAGTCGTATTATGCATAATAATAAAGTAGTTAACATTTATTCAATGCTTAATGCCATGTGTGGCACTCTTTAAAAACACTGTCTCATTTAACCCTCATAAAACCTTGTGAGTTTGGAATTATGAACTCTATTTTACAGATGAAAAAACAAGGTTCAGAGAGGTTAGGTAAGTTGACAAAGTTCACATGCTGAATTATTGGTAAACCCAGGATTGTTAAATTCCCCAAGTCCTCAATCTTGAATATTCCAGTAACAAAAGATTAAAAGAGAGGTAGATATCCATCAGTCTTACTTTTCTTATGAAAATAGATCTTGATCAAACAGTTCTCATTAGTAAGTTTATTTACTTAGAACACTAGAAATGTATTACAAATTCCCAAAGAGAGGCTCTCTAAGGATTCATTAATCTTCTTCTCTGTATGTGCAAATAGGTCAGTGTTTATTTTCATTTCACTATGAAGTACCTTTAGTAAAGTAAATATAGAAAATTAATTTGTTCGTCATTTGTTGTTAATAGTAAACTTTTTTGTAAGAAGATTGAGAGACTGTTTGATCCTGAGTACTTGAATCCAGATTCTCGGAATAATGCAGCAACATTATACAGGTATGGTGATGTGTTTTTCTTTGGTATACTATATAATGCAGCTAAATTCTTTAATATTACTACATTTTAAATTTTCTTCTTGGATGTTTTTGTATCTTCTTTGTGTTATAGATGCTATTTGTGTAAAAAACTTTTGACAAAAGAAACAGAAAGAAGAATTCCTTGCATTCCTGGAAAAATCAATGTAGATCGACATGGAAATATTATCTACATTCACATAAGGTGTAGTGAAAATAAAATACAGCTTTTTTATGTGAATTACTAGCATATTTATAAAAGCATAACTACTCCTTTAAGGAATAGGATAACATCTTTTCTGTGTATGATCCAACTTTGATTTAGAAAGATGCTACTTTCAAAACAAAATTGTTATAAAAGCTATATTTTATTTACTGGATAAATTTCATGATGTTTTTAAGCTTTAAAATAGTAAAAATTATTCTGCATTAGTCTTGAAAGATATTCTGGTCAGTGCCATTAAAATCATTTCTTGTCACTAGCAGATTTTAGTTGTCTACATAAATGTTGTATTTAATTTGACAAGAGGACAAAATTTACTTTCAGATGAGTTTTGGTGAATGAAGAAAATTGTCTTCAAAATTGCATTTTCCATAATCTATTTATTTCATACTTTGTCAGTATTCCATTAATACATAGTCCTTTTTTATTCCCTTTGAGTCCAAAACCAGTTCTTATTCGGAGTTGGGGAAGGAGTCTTGTAAATTGGTTTAATGTCTCAGGAAAGCAGAAACTTTAAAATGTGTATATTTTCTGACAGTCGCCTACTGCTAGGAATTGATCCAAAGAGGTAATGTTGGATTTGTGAAAACACTTAATAAGGACATTTATTGCTAGATTTATTGCTAGGTTGTTTAAACAGAAAGAAAAAAAAAGGAAACACCCAAAAGATTAAACAAACTCAAATATATCCATACAATAGTATATCTATATAAAACACATCTAATCAACTCTTTATGCACAGCCTTTGAGAATAATGATGTAAAAGAAAATATACTTACGTAGAAACTTGTTAGTAGTAAATTAAGGGGGAAAAAACAGGTTATAAAACAAACCTAGAAACGTGTTCAATACTTTGAGTGATAGTATTATGGATGGTCTTAATTTTCTTTTTGCTTGTTTTTTTTCTCTATATTAAAAATGTACAGCACTTTTTAAAAGAAAAAGCCCTACAAATATTAGATTTAATATTTTAAACATTAAAACAGAAATACTTATATTTGACCCTGCTATTAATAGCACAGTCAACTTTAGAATGTTTCATTTTTCTCTAGGTACAATAATCAGGGAATCTTCATTAGTTATTGTAAGCACCTGGGATTTTATACTTTTTTGTCTTGAGACTTGATTCACCTTTTGAAAACTTCCATTCTGACAGCGTAACTATTAATACTATGTGAAAAAGTTGATAACTTCAACTTTGAATAAAAAGTATTTCCTACAAGTCAGCTGTTGATGTATACATTTAAAAAATTGCCTTTAAATAGCTTAAAACAGATATGCCTATATAATTTGTATTAACGTGATGGCATTTGGTTATTTTTTGAACTAAGGACAAAAATAGCAAAGTTCAAAAAGATTGTGAGACTTGGGAAAAAAGTAAGAACTTGAGTTACATGTGACCGTAGCAAGTAGGGGTTTAAGCTTTTGCTATTTTTTGTTTATATTTTTTAATTTAAAAATGTGTATTACCGAGACCTTATTGCATCTTACTATATTACTCAATTACTAGAAAATGCCTTTTGACAATAATATAGAGGACTTATACATTAGTGAAATGTTTAGAATCACCAATAATTAATAACAACTTATTTTACAATGTGTACAGTTAGAATAAAGGTTCCATTTAGCAACATATGCCTAAGTCCCAACTGTTAACCTACTCAAGCTATATTAAATTTATAACCCTTTATCTAGTTTAGCAAAATAATTTGGCATTCAGTCTTTCATACCTTTTTCTGTTGTCCACAGAAAAAGAAAGAAGATACAAACTCCCAAATGAAATTATATCTACCATTCAGTGTAGTCCATCCCACAGCCATCATTTGGGAAATGTTTTTGGAAATAAGCCACAAATTTAAAAACATTGGCTTAAAACAAATTGTTTATATTACTTGCTTGTAAAATAATATAACAATTGAGGCTCTTTTCCCCAGAGATAAGACTTGGGATGTTCATGAGTATTTGAATAGTCTTTTTGAAGAATTAAAATCTTGGAGAGATGTGTATTGGCGTTTGTGGGGAACAATCAACTGGCTAACTTGCTCAAGATGTTACCAGGTGAGGTTTGTTTTTTTCAAATATCTCACTCTGCAAACATTGAGAGCAGGCTCTTTTGAATATATGCTGTTTAATTATGTTTGTGTTTCTGAATGTGTTGGACAATATCTAACATTTGAATGTGTTGGACAATATCGGACATCTTTTTAAAGAAACAAGTGGCAAAAATGATGATGCTATGAAACACTGTATGCGGCTTCATTTCTATTATCATATTTCTTCTTCCTCTTTTTAATTTTCATTGCTGAAACAATCAGTACCTTGCTGCCATTTCCAACAACATGGATGAACCTTGAGCACATTATGCTAAGCAAGATAAGTTAGACAGAAAAAGATAAGTACTGTATGATATCACTTTTATTTGGAATCTAAAAAAGTTAAACCTGTGAAAAACAAAGCGTGAACTGGTGGTTACCAGGGGATAGGGGAGGGAGGGGATAAGAGGGATGGTGTTTCAGGTTACAAACTTGTAATGAGTAGTAAATAAGCCATGGAGATCTAATGCACAGAATAATGAATATAGACAATAATATTGTACTATAATTATGTAATGTGATAAATATCGCTACGTTGGCAATCATATTACAAATATATAAATGTATCAAAGTAACATGCTGTACCCCTTAAACTTACACCATGTTACATGTCAAATTTATTCAATAAAAAAAAATCAGGGACCAGTCCCATGGTGTAGTGGTTAGGTTCGGCGTGCTCCACTTCAGTGGCCTGGGTGTGTGGGTTCGGATCCCAGGCGCTGACTTGTACCACTCGTCAGCCACTCTGTGGCGGTGACCCACATACAAAAAATAGAGGAAGATTGGAATGGATGTCAGCTCAGGGATGATCTTCCTCAAGCAAAACAAGAGGAAGACTGACAACAGATGTTAGCTCAGGGTGAATCTTCCTCACCAAAAAAAAAAAAAATCTATACCTTGCTGAATTTTTAGAAAACCAACAGGTTTTAAGTAACCAAATCCATTTTTTATGGGGAAAAAAATGCAGAATCCTTACTACCTTTAATTATTTCCAGCCAAGTTGTCTCTCTGTTAGTCTGTAAATTTCTTTAGAAATTCAGAAGCGCTTTGTACATAGAGTGCTATTGATAAGTACCCTTCTTGTTATAACAATTGTGTTCCCAAAGTTTTTGTTCATTTTTTTATTAAGTTTATAATAAAAGCATAAGTAAGATTACTATTTGAAGGAACCTATAATATACTTTTTTACAGAATAAATAGGTCTTTTTAGGGCACAGTCATTCCTAATTAGTCTTACATATAAATCCAGACTGTTGTCCATAAAATTTCTTATGAATTCCTGAAGTCTCTCTCCCCTAGTAATTTTCCTCTCTCACTTGGATAATGGTTTTCAGTAGAGGGAAGGAAGAGCAGCTTATCAAAACCATCAGACTGAGATTTTTCAAACCATATAAGGTTCCACCCAGTGGGCTCCCTGCGTCCCCACAATTTTTTATAATTGGATTTACTGAAGTGTAATTTACATACAGTAAAATTCATCCTTTTCATGAGCCTGGACAAACACATACAGTCATGTAACTACCACCACAATCAAAGCATAGAACACTTGCATCACCCTATACAATTCCCTTGTGACTCTTTTTAGTCAATTCCTTTTCCCACCCCAGCCTCTGGCAACCACTGGTCTGTTTACTGTCTCTATAGTTTTGACTTTTCCAGAATGTCCTATAAATAGAATCATACAGTATTTAGCTTTTTGAGTCTAGCTTCTTTTACTTAGCAAAATGGATTGGAAATGTATCCATGTTGTATGTATCAATTTGTTCTTTGCTTGAGGAAGAGTGGCTCTGAGCTAACATCTGTGCCTATCTTCCTCTATGTTTTGTATGTGGGACACCACCACCGCATGGCCTGATGAGTAGTGTGTAGGTCCACGCCCGGGATCCAAACCCGCGAACCTGTGCCACCAAAGTGGAGCGCACTGAACTTAACCACTATGCCACCAGGCCGGCCCCCTGTTTATTCTTTTTTATTGCTATGTAGTAGTCCGTTGTATGAATGTGTCACAGTATCCACTCACCTGTGAAGGACTTTGTAGTGTTTCTAGTTTGGGGCCGTTATGAAGATAGCAACTATAAACATTTCCATACAGGTTTTCATGTGAACATAGGTTTTTATTTCTCTTGGGTAATTACCTAGAAATAGAATAGAAGGATTGTATGGTAAATGTAAGTTTAACATTTACTGTGCCTAACAGTTTCCCAAAGTCCCTGAACCATTTTGCATTCCTGCCAGCTAAGAATGAGAGTTCCAGTTGCTCCACATCCTTGCTAGCACTTGATATTGCCAGGTTGGCTTTTTGTTTTTTTTAAACTAATAGGTATGTAGTGGTCATCCCTACAATATGGAGTATCACTTATAATCGAGGATTCCAAAACCTGACTTGTATATCATGTCAGAATGCAGAAAATTTGAGGGATTCTTTTCCCTTCTTAATAGCAAATTGAATATTGATTTATAGTATTTAGTATTTATTAAGGAGAGTTCATAAACTCATAAAATAGTTTTTATGCAAAATACTTTGTGTATGTGCACCTTATGGCTTTTATCAGACTCAAAAATTTTTAATTAAAAACTGTTGTTTGAGGGGCCAAGCCAGTGGCATAGTGGTTAAGTTCGCACACTCTGCTTTGGTGGCCCAGGGTTTGCGGGTTCGGATCCCAGGTGCAGACCTACACACCACTCATCAAGCCGGGCTGTGGTGGCATCCCATATACAAAGTAGAAGAAGACTGGCACAGTTAGCTCAGGGACAGTCTTCCTCAAGCCAAGAAAAAACAAACCATTGTTTGAAAATCGTAATTGGAACTGACAACTAAGAATTCTGATTATAGACTATCCTTTCTTGCTTTTGTGTTCAAGATCAGTGCTTAAAATTATTAATTTTGTTATTTTCTTTAAATTATTTTACCAACTTATAAACATATCTGAAATCTATCAATTTTATAATTAAACCTTGATAAGTTTTTTCACCAGTGATTCAGTTACTCCATAGTTTTCATTAATACTGATGCTAAATATTTACCTTAAAAAAATGTCAAAGAATAATCAAGTGAGGAAAATTTTATGTCTTTTTTTCATTGGAAAACTTTTTTAAACTGATAAGAACAGATAATAGACTCAATCATAGCCAAAAGGCCAAGAAGCAATTTCATTAGAAAACTTTTTATGTGATTGGCAAATTGTAAAATTAGATGTACATCAAGATCAATTTAATTCATCTGAATTTTGAGTAAAGTATCTTTTTTGCTTTTGTGTGTGTGTGTGTGTATTTGAGGAAGATTAGCCCTGAGCTAACATCTATTGCCAATCTTCCTCTTTTTGCTGAGGAAGATTGGCCCTGGGCTAACATCCGTGCCCATCTTCCTCTATATGTGTGACGCCTGCCACAGCATGGCTTGGTGAGCACTGCGTAGGTCCATGCCCAGGATCCAAACCTACGACCCCCGGGCCGCCGAAGTATAGCCTGTGAACTTAACCACTACACCACCAGGCCGGCCCCTGTTTTTGCTTTTTAATAGCTTTATTGAGGGCCGGCCCCGTGGCTTGGTGGTTAAGTGCGCGCGCTCCGATGCTGGTGGCCTGGGTTCGGATCCCAGGCGCGCACCGAGGCACCACTTCTCCATCCATCCTGAGGCCGAGTCCCACATACAGCAACTAGAAGGATGTGCAGCTATGACATACAACTATCTACTGGGGCTTTGGAGGGAAAAAATAAATAAATAAAATCTTTGAAAAAAAAAATAGCTTTATTGAAGTGTAATTACATGCCATAAATTCATTCATTTTAAATGTACAATTCACTTATTTTTAGTAAATTTACAGAGTTGTGCAACCATCACCACCATCCACTTTTAGTACATTTCCCTCACCCCAAAAAGATATCTTGTGTCCATTTACTGCCACTCCCCAATCTCACTTCCAACCCCAGGCAACCAATCTACTTTGTGTCTCTAGAGATTTCCCTTTTCTGCACATTTTATGTAAATGGAACAAGCAATATGTGGTCTTTTTTCTCCCTTTTTTATTGAAGTTTTAATGACATACAATGTCATGTTAGTTTCAGGTGCACAAATGTAATGATTTGATATTTGTATATATTGCAAAATGATCACCACAGTAAGTCTAGTTAACATTCGTCACAATTTTTTTTCTTGTGATGAGAACTTTTTTTTTTTTTTAAAGATTTTATTTATTTTATTTTTTCCCCCCAAAGCCCCAGTAGATAGTTGTATGTCATAGCTGCACATCCTTCTAGTTGCTGTATGTGGGACTCGGCCTCAGGATGGACGGAGAAGTGGTGCCTCGATGCACACCTGGGATCCGAACCCGGGCCACCAGCATTGCAGCGCGCGCACTTAACCACCAAGCCACAGGGCCGGCCCGTGATGAGAACTTTTAAGATCTATTCTCTTAGCAACATTTAAATATGCAATACAGTATTATTAACTATTATTGCCTTGCTGTACATTATATTCGAACAACTTATTTATTTTATAACTGGAGGTTTATACCTTTTGACTCCCTTCACGCATTTCTCCCACCACCCCCCCTCCTCTGGCAACCAACAAAATGTTCTCTGTATCTATGAGCTTGGTTTTTGTTTTGTTTAGATTCCACATATAATAAGTGAGATCATACAGTGTTTGTCTTTCTCTGTCTGACTTATTTCACTTAGCATAATGCCCTCAAGGTCCATCCATATTGTCACAAATGGCAAGATTACATTCTTTTTTATGGCTGAATAATATTCGCGTGCGTGTGTGTGTATACACATATGTACCACATTTTCTTTATCCATGCATCTGTCAATGGAAATTTAGGTTGTTTCCATATCTTGGCTATTGTAAATAATGCTGCAGTGAACGTGGGGGTGCAAATGTTTTCGAATTAGAGTTTTCATTTTCTTTGCATAAATACCCAGAAATGCAATTGCTGGATCATATGGTAGTTTTATTTTTAATGTTTTGGGGAACCTCTATACTGTTTTCCATAGTGGCTGGACCAATTTACATTCCCAGCAGCAGTGCACCAGGGCTCCGTTTTCTCCACATCCTCACCAACACTTTTTGTCTCTTGTCTTTTTGATAACAGCTATTCTAACAGGTATGAGGTGAAATCTCATTGTGGTTTTGATTTGCATTTCTCTGATGATTAGTGATGTTGAACATCTTTTCGTGTACCTGTTGGCCATCTGTATATCTTCTTTGGAAAAATGTCTGTTCAGATTCACTGCCCATTTTTTAATTGGATTCTTTGGTTTCTTTGCTATTGAGTTGTATGAGTTCTTTCTATATTTTGGATATTAACCCCTTAGCAGATATATGGTTTGCAAATGTTTTCTCCCATTTGATGGATGCCTTTTCATTGTGTTCATGGTTTCCTTTGCTGTGCAGCTTTTTAGTTTGCTGTAGCCTCACTTGTTTATTTTTGCTTTTGCTGCCTTTGCTTTTGGTGACAAATCGAAAAAATCATCGCCAAAACCAATGCCAAGGAGCTTACCACCCATGTTTTCTTCTAGGAGTTTTATGATTTCAGGTCTTATATTCAAGTCTTTAATCCATTTTGAGATAATTTTTGTGTATGGTATAGATAGTAGTCCAGGTTCATTCTTTTGCATGTGGTTGTCCAGTTTTCCCAAGACCATTTATTGAAGAGACTGTCCTTTCCCCATTATATATTCTTGACTCCCTTTGTCATAAATTAATTGGCCATATATGCATGGGTTTATTCCTGGGCTCTCTATTCTCTTCCATTGATCTGTGTTTCTGTTTTTATGCCAACACCATACTGTTTTGATTACTGTAGCTTTGTAATATAGTTTGAAATCAGGGAGTGTGATGTCTCCAGCTTTGTTGTTCTTTCTCAAGATTGCTTTGGCTATTCAGGGTTTTGTGATTCCATGCAAATTTTAGGATTATTTGCTTTATTTCTGTGAAAAATGCCATTGGAACTTTGATAGGGATTGCATTGATTCTGTAGATTGCTTTGGGTAGTATGGACATTTTAACAATATTAATTCTTCTAATCCATAAGCACAGAATATCTTTCCTTTGTTTTGTTTTGTTTTTTGTGAGGAAGATCAGCCCTGAGCTAACATCCATGCCAATCCTCCTCTTTTTGCTGAGGAAGACCGGCCCTGAGCTAACATCTATTGCTAATCTTCCTCCTTTTTTTTTTCCCCCTCCCTTTTTCTCCCGAAGGCCCCAGTAGGTAGTTGTATGTCATAGTTGCACATCCTTCTAGTTGCTGTATGTGGGATACCGCCTCAGCGTGGCCGGACAAGCAGTGCGTCGGTGCGCGCCCGGGATCTGAACCCGGGCCGCCAATAGCGGAGCGCGCGCACTTAACTGCTAAGCTGCGGGGCCAGCCCCCACAGGATATCTTTCTGTTTATGTCTTCTTCAGTTTCTTTCGTCAGTGTCTTACGGTTTTCAGTGTATAGATCTTTCACCTCCTTCGTTGAATTTATTCCTAGGTATTTCAGTATGTGGTCTTGAGGAGAGTATTTTTGAGATGTATAATTTCATTCTGGGAATAATAATTGATTTTATATATTTCTTTTCATCTTTTATTTACAGGCTTTTCTCTGTATAGAATTTTCACATTGTCAGTATCACTCAGAAACAGTAGTTTATCCTACAGCAAGTTCACTGAATTCTGTCAGCACTGGAATTTATCCCTGCTGTAACCAAAAGGTTCTTCGGTTTGATCCCACTCAGCTTACGAAGGTAAATTTTGAATGCTGCCCTTTTGTAGTTACAGCGCTCACTAACGCTCTTTATTTAAATCTTTTCCCTTTTATTGTTTTTAAACTATAAAGGTAATACATTCATGTAGAAAAGACGTTAAACAATACATAAATAAGTATAATAAAAAGTAAAAGTCCCTCTTCACACTACTCCCTCATTCTACATCTCTTCTTAGAGGTAACCACAGTTAACAGTTTCCTTCCAGACCTTGTTTTGTACATTTCAGGCACAAATTATATGTAGTTTTTTGTATTGGAAATGGGGTCATACTATTCATATTATTCTGTAATTTGCCTTTTTCGCTCAACAATATACTTAGGTTATCTTTCTGTGTCATTTTATTTAACTGCTGTGTAATATTCCAAGCTGTGCATATATCACAATTTACTTAACCATTCTTCTATTAATGAACATTTAAGTTGTTTCCAGATTAATGGTATAACAGTGTTGCAGTGAACATCCTTGCACATATACCTTTGTGCATTATGTGAATATTGCTATAGGTTAGACTCTTTGATCATTAGCACTTTTGAAAACATTATATAATTAAATTTCATGAGTAAATGAAAGGAACCTAAAGCTCTTCCTCATCATCCATACAACAAATATTTATAAAGCATCAAAGTTGTGTTACACACTGTGCAAGACAGAGAGTAGTGTGTAAAATTAGATAGTTTCTGCCTCAGTGGAGCTTAATATCAAAAGGCAGTAAGGAGCCGGCCTGGTGGCACAAGCGGTTAAGTGCGCGCGCTCCACTGCGGCAGCCCGGGGTTTGCTGGTTCGGATCCCGGGCGTGCACCGCACCACTTGTCAAGCCATGCTGTGGCAGCGTCCCATATAAAGTAGAGGAAGATAGGCACGGATGTTAGCCCAGGGCCAGTCTTCCTCAGGAAAAAGAGGAGGATTGGCAGATGTTAGCTCAGGGCCGATCTTCCTCACACACACAAAAAAAGGCAGTAATATCAAAAAGGAAAAAGAAAGCACACAAAGAAATGTTTGAAGAAGTATGCAGGGCCATAAATGTCTATAATAGGCTGGTCTGATGTGGGCGTTGAAGTCAAGGAAAGCCTCCATAAGGAGTTGGCATTTGTTTGAGATCTGAAGGATGGGTAGGAGTATGTGAGGTGAGGAGGAAGGTAAAGAACACTCCGGTCAGAACAGCAAGGTCAGAAGGAACATAGTAAAAGAGACTGAAAGAAGCTGTGCCTGTTAAAGAAAACATGCATAGTTCAAGACGAGGCTAGAGAGGTGACTCAGGGTTAGGCCATGTGGAGGAAGGACCTTGTAGGCCATGTTAGAGTTTTTTCTTTGTTTCAGGTTTTGAAAATATCACCTGCATTGTGGAGAATGGCTTGGGGAAAAGTCAGTGGAGTCAGGTACAAGAGGACATTATCACAGTAGTCTTAGAGAGAGATGATGGTTGCTTGGACTAGAGTAGTGGAGGTGAAGCAAAGTAGATGAATTCAATATTTAGGAGGTAAAACTGGAATGACTTGATGGATCATATCACAGAGGGAGAAGGAGGAGTCAAGGATGACTCAGTTTCTTGCTTGTGCTACCTGATAGATGGTAGTGTCGTTCACTGAGGAGGAAAAAACATAAAGGAATCAGGTTTGGAGAGAAGCTTGTGAGTTCTGTTTTGGGCATTTTGAGTTTGAGGTGCTTTATGAGATAACCAGGCAAAGAGTATCAGAGATATGGGTTCGGGGCCTCAGAGGAGTGGCTAGGCTGGAGATAATAGTATGTAAGGCTTCTTGCAAATAAGTGATAATTGAAACCAGCAGGTATAGGTGAGCACAAGAAGAGCAGAGGATCTACAGTGGAGCCTAGAGAAGCTCCAACATTTAATAGATGGATAGAGCAGCATGAGCCTGCAAAGGAGAATGATCAGGAGCAGCCAGAATAATAGGAGGAAAACCAAGGATGTTGTCATGAAAACCAAGGGAGTAGTATTTAAACAGAGAGAGAGTGGTCCACGATGCCAAATATTGCTAAGAGGCCAAATAAAATAATTGAAAGAAATGCGTCCTTTGACTTGGGTGACTTGGAATCCTCAGGTGTGAAGAGCTGTTTTGGTGGAGTGCTAGATCCAGAAGCCAGATTGATATGGGTTGAGGAGTGAGTAGAAAAAGAACAAATGGAGACAGCACGATAACAACTCTTGGGAAATTTGAGAAAAGGCGATGGGTCAGTAATTAGGTTATGAGTATTTATTTATTGTTTCTGTTTTATTTTGTTTTGATAGGAGAGAGCTTTTTAAAAGTCAGTGGGAATGATCAGTTGAGGAGGAGAGGTTGATAGTACAGGGTTTACGTGGAGGCAGGGTAGAGTGGGATCTTAAGTACGTGTGGCAGTATTAGTTTAGACAGGTGGAAGGACAGCTCCTCTGTTATAACACAAGAGAAGAGTACGATGGTTGCAGATATTAGTAAAATTGTGTTTTTGTCATTTGGATGATAAGTTGTTCCAATCTAATTCCCTTCTCGTCTCTATAAAGTAGAAGATAAAGCCATCTGCTAAGAATGAGGGGGAAAGAGGGAAGCTTCCAAAGTTTGAAATAGTCTTTTTGGAAAACAGGAGAATGCATTTTCCAGAGAAATGCTGTAAGTAACTAGACAGTTTGAGAGCCCGTTGGGTAATCATAAATGTACGGTGAAATCCAAAATGCCTTTTTATATCACTCTTTCCAGCAGCTCTGGCTGCTTGAGTACAAGCATAGAGAAAATGGGTAGTTGAGCTCATTCAGAGTTGGGGTTTTGTCACATGGGTATAATGAAATTTAGGGGCAAGGAATTTAGGGTATTAGCACAAAGGTTACTAAAATGTGGGTCGTGGAATTTAAGCTGGATTTGGAGGTATTTATATTTGCAATCAATTACCAACTTTGATTAGTCAGACATTTTATTGATAAAGTGATAGGCTACCCACATAACGTTCATATTTAAAGTTTAGGTGGATGCTTTGCATACGAAGTTATTTAAATTAAGCATGAGACTTTAAGCACAGTGGAATTAGCTTTGTCAGGCCCAAGATATTCATTAATTCATGATTACTGTTATGTTTTGCAGTCACATGATTTTTAGTCATTGCATTTCTTCATGGTCATGGTGTTTCCATTTTAACTATCATATTCACATTGTTTTGAATAATACTTCTAAAGTTGTAGCTCTTTGGCCTGTTATTGTCTCTTTACTCATTGTATTAACTAATACTCCATTCATTGTGAGAGGATTCAGGAATAAATAGTAATTAAACTGTATGATAAGTCTTGTATGTGATATCATGCATACTGATTGAGGTGATTTCTTGGGCTAAGTGAAATTTAAATAGCCCATATGGTGATTTATATTTCCAGTAATGGCAGACTAAGTAATTCAGATCAATCCTCCATCAAAAGACAACTAAAAAAAGGTGGATGAAATATTAATATAAAGATCATATTATTATTTTTTGTGTGTGTGTGTGGTGAAGATCAGCCCTGAGCTAACATCCATGCCAATCCTCCTCTTTTTGCTGAGGAAGACTGGCTCTGAGCTAACATCTATTGCCAATCCTCCTCCTTTTTTTTTTCTCCCCAAAGCCCCAGTAGATAGTTGCATGTCATAGTTGCACATCCTTCTTGTTGCTGTATGTGGGACATGGCCTCAGCGTGGCTGGAGAAGTGGTGTGTCGGTGCACGCCCGGGATCCGAACCCGGACCGCCAGTAGTGGAGCGCGCGCCCTTAACTGCTAAGCCACGGGGCCGGCCCTCTAAAGATCATATTAAAAGCATCAAAGAGCTAATAAGATAATGAGGAATTGGTGTTAAGATACAGAAAATGATGGGAACCCAAAGAAGTGAGCTGGCGCTCAGGGCCGTTTTTGTCCTGGGGGCAATTATCAACCTGAAAGAGGTGACTGAGAGACTGGGCTGAGCTTTTGGTGCCCTATCAGGATTTTTGGGAATAGTCAAGATCCAAGGTCTGTCAAGAATGGGGACATTAATGAATAACATTCCCACCCTTACGCTTTGAGTTGGGATCCCAAAGAAAATAAGAGTAAATCAGAAGTAAACCATCCCTTGCCTGGATAGCAGCCTGGCTTTGATTTATTTGAGCAGCCTAGGAAATTTCAAGCCCTGAACTTGGATTGAGGTAATTCTGGATTGCCACTGTCCCCAGGCACCTAAAAATCCTCTTTGGAGAAAGATAATATTATTCTATAGCTCAGATTTGTTCTACAAATAGTTTTTGAACAAAATATTCAGCATTCACAGATAACACGTCATAGATGAAAATATGTTACCAAGAATGGGAACAGCAGAACTTAGACAACAAAAACAAACCACAGAAACTACAATATTGGAATTATTGACACAGACTATAAAATAAATAAGATTACTAGCTTCAGTTGATAGAAGCCAAGCTTGGCAATTTTTGGCAGGGAATTATAAACTATAAAAAGTGACAGAGGGTTTGAGTAAAAACAAATAGAAATGTTAGAACTGAAAAACTCAGTAAGAAAAATTTAAGCTTAGTGGCAAATTTAACAGCAGGTTAAATATAGCTGAAGAATTAGTGAATTGCAACATAAAAGTCAGAAGAAACTATCCAGAATGAATAGTTTCATTCTGGGTAAAAGACAAAGAGAAAAAATGATGAGAAATATAAAAGAAAGTAAGAGACCTGGAGAGTACATGTCTAACGTTTTTTTAATCGTAGTAAAATATACATAATATAAACTTTTCCTTCTTAAAAATTCTCTAAGTGTACAGTTCAGTAGTGTTTATATTCACGTTGTTGTGCAACCAGTCTCCAGAACTCTTTCCTGTTTCAAACCTGAAACTCTATACCCAATAAACAACAATTCCCCATTCCAATTACCCCTCCCCTCAGCCCCTGGCAACTACCATTCTACTTTCTGTCTCTACAAATTTGACTACTCTAAGTATCTCATATAGTCGAATCATACAGTATTTGTCTTTTTGTGTGAGAAGGTCTATTTTTTAATGAGATTTCCAATAGAAGAGAAAGAGAGTAGATCAGAGGCAAAATACGAAGAGATAATCACTGAGATTTTTCAGAGTTATTGGAAGATATTAATTTATAGATTCAGGAATTCCAAGGACTCCCAATAAGATAATAAGAAATCCATACCTGCACACATCATAGTGAAACTGCAGAAAACAAAAAATAAAGAGAACATTGAAAAGCAGCCAGAGGAAAAAAGTAAAGAATCCCTTTACCATAATTAGACAGAGTTCACATCTCAGTAGTAGCAGTGGAAGCCATAGTATAGGCCACCAGGTCTTCAGTGTGCCTGAAGAAGTAGTTAACCATCTAGAAATCTACGCCTTCCTTAAATATCTTTCAAGAATAAAGGCAAAAAAAAGATATTTTTAGGCAAACAGAAATTGAGGGAATTTTCAACCAGCAAACTGCTTTAAAGGAGATACTAATAGATGTTATCCAGATAAAGGAAAGAATGAAGACCAAAGAAAGAAATTAATATATTGGTAAATCTAAATGTTAAAACAATGTGTAATGTGTAAAACACATTGTGTAAAACACAATGTATAAAACAATGTTAGTAATACTTGTATGTGTGTGTATGTAAAAAATATATAATTATATTAATAATATAGAAAATTTTAAAATAATTGATATATACTATACATTTTAATGTATAATTTTAAAACCCACAATAATAGCCTATATGTAGGGAGCATGGTGAAATGGAGTTTAAAAAGTCTTGGATTATTTGAGAGGAAGGGTATTAATATATTAGACTTTGATAGGTCAAGAATACATGTTATAATTTCTAGGGTAACCACTAAAGGGATAGAAGAATGTATAACTTCCAAATTAATGTGTGTGAAAGGAATGAATGGGATGATTAAAAAAAAAAAGAAAACAAAAAATTCTTACCACATTTACAAATAAAAAGGAAATAAAGTCATCCAATTAAGGACAGATAATATAAAACTTATAGCAAATATCACACAATAGTGAAATGTAGAAAGCTTTAGCTTTGAAATTGGGGGCACAATAAGGATGCCCTTTTCACCACACTTCTATTCAAATTGAACTGGAGGTCCTGGACAGTATATTAATGTAAGAAAAAGAAATGAAAAGGTATAAGGATTGAAAAGGAACTGTCATAATTTGCAGATGATATTGTAAACATAGAAAACCCTGAAGAATATACAGATAGATTATTAGAATAAATAGGAATTTGATTGATCTATTAAAAATCATTTACAAAAATCGGTTTTATTTCTGTAGACCAACAAAGTTAGAAAATGAAGTTTATGAAAATCATTTACAATAGCCTCAAAAATATCAAGTACCTAGGAATAAATGTAAAAAAATATGTGCAAGAACTATATGTGGAAAACATAAAAGAAAAGAACATTTTAAAATGGATTGTTTGGGCCGGCCCCGTGGCTTAGTGGTTAAGTGCGTGCGCTCTGCTGCTGGCGGCCCGGGTTCGGATCCCGGCTGCGCACCGACACACCGCTTCTCTGGTCATGCTGAGGCCGCGTCCCACATACAGCAACTAGAAGAATGTGCAGCTATGACATACAACTATCTACTGGGCTTTGGGGGGAAAAAATAAATAAATAAAATCTTTAAAAAAAAAAAATAATAAAATAAAATAAAATGGATTGTTTTACCGTGTTCATAGATTGGAAGACTCCATATTGTAAAGATGTAAATGCTCCCCAAACTGACAAAAATTGTAACGGGTTTTTATTGGGAACTTTGCTAAGCAGATTCTAAAATGTGTGTGGACATGCAGAGGGCCAAGAATAGCTGAAATACTCTCAAAGAACACCAAGGTAGAAGTACTTGCTCTGCCACATATCAAGGTTTAGTATAAAGCTTTGGTAATTAAGACAGGCAAAGAGATAGACAGATGAACCAATGGAAGAGAATAGAGTACTTAGAAGTAGAGCCACTTGAATACTTGACTGTGAAAAAGGTGGCATTACAGATCAGTGGGCAAAGGATGGACTTTGCAATAAGAGGTACTGAGACATTGGAATATCCATATGGGGAAAAAAATGGAATTAGACTGTAGCCCAGACTATTCACAAAAAAAAGGCCCTATGTGAAAGGAAAACTAATAAAGCTGTTAAAAGACAATACCATTTAGGAAGAGATTTTAAATTCAAGTACATCAACTACATTAAATAAATTGAAACCGAGGAGACAAACACACAGGTGGGACCAAACATTAGCAACACATATCCATAAAAGATTCATATTAAGATTTTTTTTTTAAACTCCTACAAAGCAGTAAGAAAAAGACAGACAATAGGAATTTCACACAAGAAAACATTCATTTGTCCAGTAAACATGAAAAGGAGCTCAACCTCATTTGTGCTTAGGGAAATGCAAATTAGAACCACAATGAGATACCACTACACACTCACCAGAATGACTAAAATTAAAATGTCTGACCAAGTGTTAGTGAGGATGTGGGGTAACGAGAACTCTCATATGTTGCAGATAGTAATATAATTTGGTACACATGAGTACTTGCATTCCAGGAAACATATGAAAGAATGTTCATAATAGTATTATTTGTAATAGCTCCAAACTGGAAACAACCCATCCATCAACTGTCGAATAGATAAGCAAATTATGTATATTCATACAATGAAATACTATACATTAAAGCAGATGTTATTGTTGCATGCAGTAACATGGTTAAATCATAACATGATGTTGAACAAAACAAGTGAGGCAAAACTAAACTATAGCATTTAGGGATAGTTTAAGGATGCATCCTGAAGTGGTAAAAGGATAAAAGCAAGGAAGTGATTACTATAAAAGTCGGAATAGAGGTTATCTTTTCTGGGAGAAGAGGGACAGTTATGGTTAGGAATCGGCCTGTGGGAACTCCTGGAGCGTTGGCAGTATTCCATTTCTTAATGTGGATGGCAGTTACGTGGATATTCTTTGATATTTGTTAAGGTGTACATTTAGGTTTCATACTCTTTTCTCTATAGGTATTATTTTTTCTTGAGAAAAAGTTATAATGGTTGATATGATGGTATGACTGAGCAGAGAACAAAAACATACAGTCATCTTTAAAGGAATCTTTCTATAATGAACCTACCTCTCTAATTTAGTGTCTCTTACACAACAGGGTTGTAAAGTGAGGGATCACGTGGTTACTCTTCGTGATCAAGAGGAAGGTGGAGATTTGCTGTCCTGTCCAACTACTAGAATATTGGATGATCTGCACAAGCACAGAGATGTCATCGTTGTGCCTTTTTCTAAAGATACAGTTAGGTGAGGAAGGGTGGGTACACACAGTACTGCAGCTTTATTCTGTGGTTCCCATCTCAGAATCCTCTATCCCCTAGTGCCTCCCCAAATCAGTAATGTCAGTCTTCAAATCGTTTATTTCAGAAAGCTTAATAAATTATATGTCAACTTACAGTAAGAGCAAGCAGGTGTGTATTTATAGGAAAAAACCTTCAAAATATTGGAGGTCCAAGAAGAATAAAAACCAATGAAAAGGAGTCTTTGGCTATTGAAAAGGCTGGACCTGTGATCCAATTTTTAAGGGTTTTTTCCTTTTCCCACGTTACTTAAACCCTTCTTAAATGCTGGATTGGTACAACTAGAAAAAAAGTTGATGGTTGAGGTCATCTTTGTGTAAATTTGAACTCCTTGAATTCAGTCACTTCCATCATTTTGCAATTACAGCAGGCTGTCAGATTGAGAGTAAGAGGCTATTCTCAAAGCAGTACCAATCAGAGCAGCCCATCTCACCACCTGGCAAGTATGATGCTTGTAGTGCAGTGGTACTCCTCCTGTATGGGGTGATGTCTGCTGGGGGAATCACTAGATGAATTAAGACATGTAAATGTTGAAGTGGCTACCTTATAATCAAGACCTGTGCTTCTAAAGAGCGATTTGTAAGACATTTGCAATAAAAGATATCGTTTGCATTTAAATTCTTAAGAAATTGGACATTTCTCATAAAAATGTCTTTTTCTTTCAAGTGATTCTGGAGGTGGTCCCTGGGATGAAAAGGGTCTAGATTGTGATGTTTTACTGGAGCCAAATACACCGTGGGGCCCCAAAAGTGGGGAGCTCAATGCTGTGAGTAGCTTCTTTCACTTATTCTTTATCTATCTAAACAATGGGTGATGTATAATCTTTGACAGAAACCTGATCAATTGACATTGAAATTGAAATTTTCAGTTAATAAGCATTTACTGACTACCTGATAGTAAGAAGGTATTATGCTGAGTTAATAGGACTATCAGGGTAATAGAACACATTCCTTGCCCTCAAAGGATTAATAACTAATAGACTTAAATTTGGGGAAAAAAATACGTGATCTTCATGGTTTTTATTATGGACAAATAATGATTTGAAGAATTGATACCAGACTTCTTAATCTCAAGTTCCTGTGCATCGGGCACAGGAAGCCAAACACTGAGGCATCGGTACTTGGAGATGGAGAAAGATTTATTCAAATCTGCTAAAACGAGTAAGCGAGTAAGCGGGAGCCTGGTTTCACTCAAATCCACCTCCACAAGAATAGAAAGCAAGGGGCTTTTATAGAGCTAAGTAGCTTGACAGCAGGAGCTTTGGGGACACAAAGGGGTCACTTCCAATAAGCCCCTGGGCAATCTGATGTCTGGGTTTCAGCGACTGCTGAGGGCCAGCCATTCGGTGGTGATCACAACCTCCCAGAAGGCATTCTCTCTCTTCTGCAGAACAAGCTCCCAAATCCTCTAGAAAACAAGCTCACAAATCCTAAGTCACCCTTCAAGTTAAACAGGAAAAACAGCAAATTGGTTTAATATCTACAGTACCCCTCAGGTACCCGGCTTCAGAATGAAGATAGTATGAATGAGATATTTTGTCCTCTCCTACTTCTATAAACTTTTTTCTCTATGCTTTTTTTAATTGTAATCAGGAATGCGTTTAGTTTTTTCAAAGGTTTCAAAACTGAAATATTTTTAAGGTGACAGACCAGAAAGCTTTGATTCCTTTGATTCCTGCTGCTAACGACTAGGGAATCTGTTTGCCTCTGAACTTCCTGCCTTTGTGTTGGTTGAGGTAGCATTTACCTGAGAAGTGAAATATGCCGTGTAAAATGCATTATAAACTCCAGATGGCTATAAATATTCAACCACTAACATTTATTTATGTATTATATACAAAATAGCAGATTAGATTTCTTGAATGTTCATATATAATCTAGTTCCTTAATTTATAATAAAATATTAAAAAGTGATTGGAATAGTTAAAAAAAAAACTAAAGTTGTACTGTTATCTCTTCATGTGATTTACTTGTCCTTTGGAAATGACATTAGGAAAAATGTTGATTTTTTTTTTTTTCTTTTCTCATATACATATATATCTTCCTCTAGGCAGGGGATGTTAAAGAGAAACATTCATCATTTTCAGCCTGAGTTTTAATTATGTTTCAGCGTGGAAGGGAACTGTACTTCTAATTTTTTCAACTCTCCTACAGTATCCATATGAAAATAAGGAGCTGCAATCTGGGTAGATGCAGATTTATTAATCTCTTATTCTTTTGTCTTTTTTTATAGTTCTTGTCACTGAAAAACTGGACTCTGCAACTGGTAAGTGAGCAATTATATTCTTTCATGGATCTCTTTCTTCCTAAATTAAAATTTAGTTTAATAGAATCTTATCAATGTCTTATTTTACAGATTTTGGTTAAATGTATTTCATCCTTTTCCGCTTCTGCAATTTTGCACTTACTAAAAATGTCATTGATAGACGCATACTCAGTTATCTGGCTGCATAATCTATAAGTCTCCTTAAGTGACTTTTTTTAAGTCACATATAGGACATTGAATAAAGCAATAAATATATTAAGTTCCAATTATTTGGTTGGTTAGTTGGTTTTTTTTAACCTCTTTGCCATTACTCTGCCATCTGTTACCAGTATTCACAAGAATGGAGTAGGAATTTGGATCAGTGATGGCAGACAGTAGGGTGGATAGCTGCGGGAAGCTGATGTGGACATGGTTAAGTAATCCAGGGCCACATTCACTCAGAGAATGTGCATGTGTGCTTGTTTATGTGACTGCTTTAATATTGGCAATTATTGTACCTTAATCTTAATATCAAGGAATATACATTCAATTGAGTGATAGTTCAACAAATACGGAGTACCTATTATGTACCCATCACTCTACTAGGAGCTGTGAAGGAAATAAATCAAAAATATTTGATATAATGTGATCCTGTCCTAAATGTAAAAATTCTATGTCCATTTCCTTGATGTACTAGCTAGTGGTCATTTTATCAGCTCTTGTTTGACTCATTCATCCAAAATAAGTTTTGATAAATTTATTTGAAAGAGTTCATTAGAGATGTGGTAATATTACATTTTTAATAGAATGTGTTTTGTTTTTTAAATTTAGAAACAACAGTCATTATTTTCAGAAGAAGAAGAATATACCACCGGATCTGAGGTCACGGAAGATGAAGTTGGAGATGAAGAGGAAGTATCCAAAAAACAAAGTATTGATTTCTAAGTTAAAATCAAGTTTCATAAACATGAAGGGGTTGCGTTCCGAAGGCTTTAAAGTAAGGAAAGAGGAATTGGCTTTATAAGTCCACATGGTAGTGTAATGTGTTTCTCAAAATGTATGACTCACATCAGTGTACCTGAGATGATTTGAAGTGACACTCAAATGAAGCATTAAATAATATTGATCAAAGTTTGATTTTTTTTAATTAAAAACATGATTTAATACAACTGTAGAATGACTTGTGTCAAAATTTTTCAGTGCAAGAAATATCAGGGAAAATTGGTTCAAAGAGCATTTGAAGACTCAAGTATTTATAGACATTTGAAACAAGAGTGTTAAAAAAAAGATTGCAAGTTAGATACAAACTGATTAATGTCCTACAAGATAACCTTGGAGGTTATCTTTTCTACTAGACAGAAATCATTTATTAGACACAAAATGATTAGACACACATTCTATTAGACACAAAAATCTGCAAGTTAACGTGAAACTTAACATCTGGGCCTTCAATCAGTAGTAGATAGGAAAGTCAAACGTGGAACATTCTCTTAGAGAATTAAATAATTCTTGGGTGGGCCTGCTAAACAGTCCTCCAATATGACGTTGAAGGGACATGTAACCCTTTGTTTTATTTCCAAGTTTTACATAATTTTTCTTTGCATGTTGAATCCCCTAATGAAATAACTAGTCATTTATCAATTATTTTTCAATCCTAATTAGTCAAGGAAAAAATGCTATTATATTGTTTGGGTTTTTTTCACAATTGATTGAGGTATAATTTGATCAAATTCACTCATTTTTAAGTGTATATACATTGATGAATTTTGGCATACAGTTGTGTAACCACCACCAAAGTCAAGACCTAGAACATCACTCTAGAAGTTCTCTCCTGTCCCTTTACTCTCGGTTCCCTTTCCCCACTCCCACCCCCAGGCAACCACTGATCTGCTTTTTGTCACTATAGTTTACTTTTTCTAAGATTTCATATAAATGGAATCTTTTGTGTCTGGTTTCTTTCACTTAGTATGATATTTTCAAGATTTATCCATATTGTTTCTTCTATCAGTCATTTGTTCCTTTTTATTGCAGAGTAGTATTTCATTGTATGGGTGTACCATAATTTGTTTACCCATTCACCATTTCATAGACCTTTTGGTTTCTAGTTCTTGGCTATTATGAATAATGCTGCTATGAACATTTGCGTGCAAGTCTGTGTGGACATATGTTTTCATTTTTCTTGGGTAGATACCTAGGAGTGAAATTGCTGGGTCATATGATAAGTGTATGTTTAACTTTATAGGAAACTGCCAAACTGTTTTGCAAAGTGACTGTACCATTTTGCATCTCACCAGCAATGTGTGTGAGTTCCTATTGCTGCACATTTATAACAATACTTGGGATTATTGGTTTTTTTAATTTTAGCTATTTCAGTGAGTGTATAATGCTAAGCACCTTTCAAGTGCTTATTGGCCATTTGTGTATCTTTTTTGTGGAGTGTCTCTTGAAATCTTTTGCCTATTTTTTAATTGGATTGTTTGCCTTATTATTGAATTGTAAGAGTTCTTTATATATTTTTGGATACAAGTCCTTTGGATAGAAGTCCATATGTTTTGCAAATATTTTCCCCCAGTCTCTGACTTGCCTTTTAATTTTCTTAATGGTGTCTTTTGAAGAGCAAAAGTTTTTAATGTTATGCACTGGAATTTTTTAGTTTTCCTTTACTGTTTCATGCTTTAGTAGCTAAGAAATCTTTGCCTACCCCAAGGTCACAAAGATTTTCTGCTGCTTTCTTCTCAAAGTTGTATAATTTTAGCTTTTGTATTTAAGTTTATGATCCCTCTAGATTAATTTTTGTGTATGATATGAATTAAGGGTCAAGCTTCCTTTTTTTGCCATAGGCATAGTCAGTTGTTCCAGAATCTTTTGTTGAAAAGACTGTCCTTTCCCCATTGTATTACCTTGGCATATTTGTTAAAAAAACCAATTGACCATTTTCATATGGATCTATTCCTGAACTCTTTTTTCTCTTCCATTGATTCTTTTTTTTTTTCGTGAGGAAG